ATATGTCACCAGGGAGACTGACACATAGGTGATTTTGATAAAAAGTTTCCCCCCCGAGTGTGATATTGTTCAGAGTAAGATATTTAGTATATTGGAATCATTTTACATTAATATATTTCTCCCATTATTTCTTTAATATAACACTGTACTAGCATCTGGACATACCTAAGGAAGTACCTGATACTCTCAAAACTTCTCAGCTGGTATAGATTTGATTTAGTATTATACTTAGGTTTACAATATAGGCTTTTGAAACTGTGTTTTTTATTTTAGTTATAGCTTGCTGTCTGAATTTATGTATAGAATAACAATTTCTTTTTTAAAATATTAAAGTTTTTTGACAAGGCCTAGCTCCCTACAGACAATAACAGATCCCTAAATTTCGATGTCCTCACGGATCTTCCTAAACACAGTAGAGAGCAATAAATGAGACAAGTAAAAGTATCCGTAAACTATGCCTAAAGAGTAATTAGAGACAGAGACATTGCACACTTTAATTTACATATAAGCAGGCAAATAAGTTCCTAAGAGCGGCAGAGTTGGTTCCAGAAAGCACACTGCAATGGAGTTCAGCAGAAGCTTAGTGAAGAAAAGGGGAGTACAAAGGTCTCCTTGGGGTGACGGAAAACACATACCAAATGCGGTTAACCCACAGATAAGGAGGAGGACTCCGCACTGTGTAAGAAATACTGAGAGCAGGTCTGTGACCTGAATGGTCAGAAGACTGGTTACTAGATAGACGATAAAAAGTAACTTGAAAAGTGCACAAGACCTCAATTAGCAGCTTTGGAAAAACACTGCTTCTTGGTGGGGGACGGGGGGAGGAAGACTAGTGGTGAGCACTGAATATATTTCACTAGAAATTTAAAGCCAAAAAAAAAAAAAAAAAAAAAAAAAAAAAAAAAAGTGAGGGGGCAGCTGGGTGGCTCGGTTGGTTAAGCGTCCGACTTCGGCTCAGGTCACGATCTCATGGTCTGTGAGTTCGAGCCCCGCGTGGGGCTCTGTGCCGAAGCTCGGAGCCTGGAGCCTGTTTCAGATTCTGTGTCTCTTTCTCTCTCTCTGCCTCTCCCCTGATCATGCTCTGCCTCTCTCTGTCTCAAAAATAAATAAACGTTAAAAAAAAAATTAAAAAAAATTAAAAAAAAATGTGAGAAGTATGTAAACATTATGGCCTCTGACCAGCTAGAAATACTGCAACAAAACAAAATGAGAGGAGAAGAAAATGTAGAAAAAGTTCACTGAGTACCTTGTTGGTAAAAGTTGGGAATAAAATAATATAATTTAAATTGACAAACTGAATGGTAGAAGCCCATTCTTAGGAGTGCAAAGATAAGAATTAGAACAGATAATATTATTAACTAAAATTACATGGTGGAAAGGGAAGGAAAAGAGTTACAGGCTAATTTTATTCTTGCTCATAGTAAGGAATCAAAATACAGTGTCTGAGGGAAAGGAGGAGAGATTAAGGACATTACATAAAATTAAAAATACAAATATTCTCAAATATAAAAACAAATGCAAAAACAAGATAAAACAAACCAAAAACACACATTGGAGTTAAAAAAAAAAACAAAACAAAGAAAACATAACATAATGAAATGTCTCAAGAGAATATATTTAAGTGGTGCCTGGGTGGCTCAGTTGGTTAAGCTACTGACTCTTGATTTCGGCTCCGGTCATATCTCACAGTTCAAGAGTTTGAGGCCCACAGTGGGCTCTGCGTTGACAGCAGGGAGTTGGCTTGGGATTCTCTCTCTCTCTCTCTCTCTCTCTCTGCCCCTCCCCCTCTCACATGCACTCTCGCTCTCTCTCTCTCTCAAAATAAATAAATAAATAAACATTTAAAAAGAGAGTATATATTTTTTAATATAAAAAAATTTTTTTAACGTTTATTTATTTTTGAGACAGAGCATATCGGTGGGGGGGCGAGAGAAGAGAACTACAGAATCTCAAAGAAGCAGGCTCCCAGGCTCTGAGCTGTCAGCGGCCTGGGAGCCCAACCTATTGTCGAACTCACGGATTATGGATGCTTGACCGGGCGGAGGTAGATCAACCATACAGACCACTAACAAATGTTAACATAGACTATATTAGTACTAAGAAAAAAGTTATATCAGTAAATATAAGTACCTATTATAATTAAAAATTAAAAGACAAGTATTATTTTTTTCTTATAAGAAACAAAAGAAAACTTCACTCCACAACGTATAAAAAAAGCACAACTAAAACAAAGAAAGACTAGAAGATGGTTTAAATATATAAACAAGAAAATAAAACTGAAGAAATCTTTGAAAAGTAATAAAAGACAACTTTGCATAATTGTATTAAAATAAATTTTTTAAATCTACATAAAATTCTTCAGAAATAACATTTAGTAAAACTGATACTAGTTGAGATGGATGACTGGAATAATCCAATCTCTGGAGAAAAAAAAAAAAGGAAACTTGTCAAAAAGCTGCTCCATAAAGTAGTATCAGACCTAGAGGATTTCACAAGGAAATCATACTTAACTTTGAAAGTTCAGATAATCTCCAAATTATTTGATGGTTCTGTAGCACAGAACATAGAAAATAATCTTCAGATTATTTTCTGAAGGAATTATAGATTGGTACCAATACCTGATGAAAGTGCACATAGACATACACACAAATTTCAGGTCAGTCTCCCTAAAGAATACTAATGTAAAGATCTTAAATTAATTTTAGATAAAGAGAGGCCAACTGCATAGTACAAAATAAATACATCATGGTCAATAGTGACTCCTTTCAGAGATGCACGGATAGTTCGATGTTAGTAACTCCATTAATAAAATTTACCGTAAAAATAAAGAAAAAGAATAGCACACTCATTTCAACAGATGCTGAAAAGGAAATTTACAAATTTCAACACCCATTCTTAATAAATATAAGTTAATGAAAAACTGCAAGTATAAAACACATACAACTCAAACCAAATACTGTCATTTGAATGAATAAAAACACTTGGCATTTACACAAAAATCAGGAACAAGGTATGATGTTTACCATCAATGACTTTTTCATAATATGTTGGAAGTAATAGCTAGCACAATTAAGAGAAAACTATTAGATGTATAAGAATTGGAAAAGAAAATGTAAAACAGTCTCTATTTGATATGATAGACACTTGAAACATTCATAAGAGTCAATGTAAAAATCACTGCAAACTAAGAAAATTCACTAAGATAGTAGGATATAAAACTAACATTCTAAGAAAAAAAAATCATTAGCCTCAGAAATAATCAGAAGATATAATGAAAGAGAAGATCCTATTTATAATAACAGCAATAACAAAAAGTTAAATGCCAAGTAGCAAACTACAGTGTAAGAAAAAATTTTAAACACTTCTGAAAGACACAAAAATTAGACTTAAAGATGAAAATACATATAAAATTCTTGTATAAAATGACTCAACATCATAAAGATGTTAACATTCCTCAAATTAATTTATAAAAGTAATGAGAATCCAATTAAAAACCCAAAGAATTTTTTCCATATCTGAACAAGTTGCTTCTAAAGTTCATATTGAAAAAATTTTTTTTTAAAAACGGGGCGCCTGGGTGGCTCAGTTGGCTGAGCGTCAGACTTCGGCTCAGGTCATGATCTCACAGCTCTTGAGTTCGAGCCCCACGTGGGCTCTGTGCTGACAGCTCAGAGCCTGGAGCCCGCTTTGGATTTTGTGTGTCCCTCTCTCTCTGTCCCTAACCCTCTTGCGTTCTGTCTCTGTCTCTCTCAAAAATAAATAAACATTAAAAAAATTAAAGTTCATATAAAATTTTTAGCAAGAAATAACCCCAAACCCCTGAAAATTAAATTCAAGGGAAGCATGTCATATCAGAGATCAACTGTATATTTAAAACAATATGATTCTGAATGATAAATAAGCCAACAAAACCGAATACAAAGTCCAGAAATATACTCAAGCAGATAAAGGAAATTTAGTGTGTGATAAAGGTGGCATCTCAAATCATTGCTGAAAAGATAGACTTTCTAATAACTGATGTTGAAACAACTGGAGAGCCATTGCTAAAATGATAAATTAAATTTATATCTTGCACTATAAACCACGAAAAACAAAATATATCAGAGATACTAAAAAAAAAAAAACATACAAGTTCTAGAAAAAAGATTTTTTTACAACCTTGGGATGGTGAAAACTTTTCTAAAAATGGCTCAAAAATTCAGAATCAGCAAAGGAAAAGTTTCATTAATTTAGCTACATTACAAACAAACAAACAAACAAACAAACAACAGCAACAAAACCATTGCATGACACAAATTAGGAAAAGTTAAAAAAATATTTGCTGGGAAAGAGATTTGCCACTTATTTTACAATTTGAAAGAAAAAGACAAAAAATGTATATAGGAAATGGACAGCTGGCAGAAAAAGAAATATCTATAGTGCTTAAATATATGAACCTCATTCGTAATAAGAGCAATGTAAACTAAAACTAATTGAGGTACTACTTCTCACCTATCATAATGATAAATATCGAGAAGACTGACTCCCTCTGTTAGCATGGCTTTAGAGAAAAGATCTAATAAATTGCTGGTGGTAGTATAAAATGGTTCAAACCATAGGAAGGGGAGTTTAGTTGTATCTTAAAAAATTACATATGCATTTACCCTTTGGCCTAGGAATCCCACTTATAGACTCTTACCCTGAAGATAATTTTCCAAAAATATACATGCGTGTTCGCAACTCATTCTGGCATTATTTGTAATGATCAAAACGTAGAAACAACCATCACTAGGGGACTAGCTGAACTAACAATGGTATAACCAAGTCAAATGGCTTTGAAAGCTATTGATCAATTCTATAAGGCACCAAAGAGTAACAGTAGCTATGACTTTGTTTAATATAAATTTATTTTAGCTAAAATGCAAACATATTTTGAAAACTGACTCAAAATGAAGAATGTATTAAAATTACTACAGTAGCAGAATATCAACAGCATTACGTGCATGTTGCCTTTTACTTACGGTTTACAGTTTTGACTGGTAATATTGGGTTTACCCTCTCTGGGGAGCCAGCGTTTTCCTCATCTGTCACATATTCAAAATTAATGATGAACATCATAGCCACGCCCTCTTGGTTTTTCACTGGAATTATGTGAGTGTTACAAATGAAAGTGGACCCTAAGGAGATGAAAAATGAATGTTAGGTCAAAAGTATGCCTTCATTTTGAAGTGTTAGTAATATTAAAATTCTAATAACCCCTTAGAATTTTCTATTGTAAATGATCACTGAAATTTAACAAAATAATTAGACTTTTATTTCATATTTCATTTCACATATATCTACATAAAAATCCACAAATTTTGCCATAGACTTTACAGGCAAATTCAGGTGCTACATTATGGAAAAATAGAATATCAAATCCCATTTGTTCTCATACACACCACTATAATAATATAAGGAACAAAAAGTATATTCTTTAACTTTTTAGAAAAACTCTTAGCCTTCTCATACATTTTGATTAATTCTGAAGCTATATAAAACAGCTGTGTAAATAATGAAGACAACTCCTATTATGACATCTTGATTTTAGTGTTAAGCAAATTATTCCTTTTTTCTCTTTTAATTGCCAGGATATAAAATAGTAAGTTATTGACTGTGTCTTAACTATGTTTCGATAATTCTTTTCTTTTTTTCTGCAAAATTCACAATGCCCAAATTATAATGGTTTGGCTTATAATCTGTTAGAAAATGAGATCAAAATTTTGTACATTTTATTGTACTAATTTGATTCCTTCAACCAAAAATATGATATTCTTTTTAAAGCACTGGGGCTAATACACCTTTTATTAGAATCTTCTGAACATGAGATGAGCAAAGGGATGAATCAATTTACAATTAACCACTGCCACTCATCCTCAAACAGAAAATCCAAGATCCAAGATTTAGAGAACACTGTCAGGAAGTTGATTTCTTTTAAATTAGTTGACTTCTGGGGCGCCTGGGTGGCGCAGTCGGTTAAGCGTCCGACTTCAGCCAGGTCACGATCTCGCGGTCCGTGAGTTCGAGCCCCGCATCAGGCTCTGGCCTGATGGCTCGGAGCCTGGAGCCTGTTTCCGATTCTGTGTCTCCCTCTCTCTTTGTCCCTCCCCCGTTCATGCTCTGTCTCTCTCTGTCCCAAAAATAAATAAATGTTGAAAAAAAAAAAAAAATTTTTAAAAAAAAATAAAAAAAAAAATAAATTAGTTGACTTCTGACTGACTTCTTGAACCTGACTTCTAGAACCAAGTATTTTCTTCAAGCAGCTTGCTCACATCTTTACCCTCTGCATATTTCTTTTTTTAGTCATGGTGATGGAAACCTCAGGTTAGGGATTTGTTTGGGTTCAAAAGTATTGTATTTTTTAAATACAAAGCTTCAGGAAGAGTTCTCAATCAGGTAATAGAATGTTTTTTTGACTTGTTTGTTTGTTTGTTTGTTTTGTAACAACTGGCTGGGACCATCTTGAATCTTGAGAATGATAATTTAGTGTAGAGGCAGAAGCAGGTTGGGAGCAAGAGGGATCTGGCTTCAGAGGGAGATGTGAGAAAGTGAGACACCAAGAGTCTGAGGTCAGGGGCATTGGCAAGTAACAAGAGAATGTAGTTGGAATACCAACATCCATGAAGCCCAGTGGATGCTCGTATTCCAAAATGGTGTCCTATGCATGAGCAATCAAAAACAAAATAAGTATGATAAAACCCTTTCCTTTCTTCTCATCCTCATCCCTGCAACATGGCTCCTACCGCCAGAGCCGAGAACAAAGGCTATTGCTAATACTGCTATCGATTGAGACATCACAGGTGGAAGAGATTTTGAGGGTGGGCCTGGAGATCTAATTATTGTTTATGAAATTGTTTCTATTGGCAAACATGTTCTAATTTCCAAGGAACTGATTTTCAAAAACACTCTCAGAACACAGACTCTTTGTAAGTTGGGGATGCCTATGTGTTAGTTATGATTCAGATATTTATATGTCAGTAGTCTCCCAGATTTGAAATGTAGGAGAACTTATTTACAATTAATTTTATATTTTCTGTAAATATGGCTGTGGTTTTACAGATGTTGAAAAATGTGTTTTAAGAATGACGTGCTGCACCTTCACAGTCTTCAGCTGTGTCTTCAATTCATTTAATAAAATAGTTAGCTAGAGCACTTGTCATAGTTTCCATGGTAACAAACGGGATGACTTTAGTAAACAGAAAATAAGTAATTTAAGACTGTTGCACTAGAACTAAAAATAGAATTGCTTCAGGCCAGGCATCAGAATACAAACTGGCTAAACAGACTGAGAAGATACTAGAAATAGCCATTGTGTATTCTGCTAATGAATCAAAACACATATTGATATTACCACTTAAAATGACATTTCCTAGATCATGTAGAGTATCATTGTGAATTCATAGATTTGTTACTTAGCAGTTTAAAATCTTTCAACAATTGAAGTATATTTATATTGCTGATTGTACAACAAAACACAAAGCACAGATTTTTAAGAAATCAATAAATAAAAGATGTGGGAACAGAGATTTAATAGGCTTGTAATAGAGCACAGTAATTTTGCTTTTGGTAATAGGGGCAAAATCACGTATTGCAATACTAATGCTTGTAAATTTACTGGCTAGTGCTAAAAATCATAAAATTATAGTGCTTTATAAAAAAGTTCAGTTACATGCATTGGCTCCAAAGCATATTGAAAATATGTAATTAATCTGGGATTTACTGCCCACTAGCATTGTTTCCTGTGTGTTTCTATTAAGCAATATATCTCCTCTAAAGTCAACTGAAAATTCACATTTACATTTTTTTTTCTCTTTTAGTTTTTGGATTTAATGTCTCCATCAATCTTGCATAGCCTCCTGGAAAGCAGATTATTGAAAGGAGATACATGGACTTTAGAAGAGAAGGAGAACCAAATACATTTTGTAAATCAAAAACATTTTAGCTTGCATCATTCCGCAAACTCCAAGTTCTGTCAAGGTATTACTTTTGTAAAGTAACATTATTTTAATAAGGCATTACTGGGCACTCCTAAATATTTTTCTTGAATGCAACATTGGGAGCAAGAGAAATGGAAATATCAGTCAGCAAACACTGATCTAGCAATTAATTAAAAAAAAACAGACACATTCAATAATATGTAAATAAGAGAACTAAACAAATCTAGAAATAAAAAGCTGAGACCTTGTTAAAATGAATCAGTATTCAAACGGAATTAATAATGTTTGTTAAGAAGCTTATTTACAATAAGATTATCCAATAATTTTACAATTATACATGCAATTATACAAATATTAGTTAAACCCAGATTCATTTCCACATTTTGTCTCCTGACTAAAAACATTCTCAAAACCGGGAGGGCCGCTTAGGAGGAATAACGCTCCTTAAAATAAAATGGCTCGAGTGTTAATTTTTAACGGTAGCCACAGAGCAAGCTGACTCAGAGTAATCTGAATAATTTTTCTTTTGTTAATAAAATTGTTGGCCCACTCCTTGCTTTCACATTTTAAAATAGTGACCAGAACTCCTCCCTTTGAACTGCTCTAAAGATGTTTTATTCTACTGTTTGTATTCACAGGGCATCCTTGTGTCCCCTAAAATCAACAAATGTTTATTGAGCACCTAACATTGGGTCAAACGCTATTCTGAGTTCTCAGACCATGATGAAAAAGACGGCAATGATAAAAACAAAGGTTCTACTTCTACAGAATTTATATCAACACAATAAACAAATACAGAGATATCTAATATATCAAGTAAAAATAAGTACAATGAAGGAAGAGAAAGCAGAATAAGGTGATAGATCGGAAGGGAATGCATTTCCTTTGAAATGACATACAGGTGAAGCCATGAGATCAAAAGATATATAGGCTAAGTGATGGAGTTGGCTATGTGGCTCCATGTACAGAGCTCAGCTGGCAGAGAAAGCTGCAAGTGTAAAAGGCTTTAGGTAGAAGCAAGGTTGTAAGCTCAAGGAACAATGTGGATGCCAGTATGGCTAGGGCAGTATGTTGGTTATAGGGTTGGAGTTAGAAAGCAGATAAAGTTGAAGAAGAAGTAGGGAGCCACACCATGTGTGGATGGATTTGGAATATTCCTGAGTTAGACAAGAAGGCATTGGAAGGTTTTGTGCAGAGGTTGACATGACTTGATTTAAATGTACCCCTTCCAGGGCGCCTGAGTGGCTCAGCCGGTTAAGCGTCCTATTTCGGCTCAGGTCATGATCTCAGAGTTCTAGGGCTCAGGCCCCACGTCGGGCTCTGCACTGATAGAGCCTGCTTGGATCCTCCATCTCCCTCTCTCTCTGCCCCTCCCTCACTCATGCACATGCATGCGGTCTCTCTCTCTCTCAAAAATAAATAAACATTAAAAAAAGTACCCCTCTCCAAAAGACCTGAACAAGACATTTTTCCAAAGAAGACACCCAGAAGGCTAACAGACACATGAAAAGATGTTCAACATCACTCATCATCGGGGAAATACAAACCAAAACCACAATGAAATACCACCTCACACCTGTCGGAGTGGCTAAAATTAACAACTCAGGAAACAACAGATGTTAGCAAGGTGTGTAGAAAGAGAGACACTTTTGCACTGTTGGTGGGAATGCAGACTGGTATAGCACCTCTGGAGAAGAGTATGGAGGTTCCTCCAAAAATTAAAAATAGAGCTACCCTACGACTCAGCAATTGCACTAATAGGTATTTTTCCAAAGGATACAAAAAATGCTGATTCGAAGGGGCACATGCACCCAATGTTAATAGCAGTACTATCAACAATAACATATTAGGGAAAGAGCCCAAATGTTCATTGACTGATGAATGGATAAAGGAGATGTGGGGTGTGTGTGTGTGTGTGTGTGTGTGTGTGTGTGTATAATGGAATATTACTTGGAGATCAGAAAGAATGAAATCTTGCCATTTGCAACAATGTGGATGGAACTAGAGAGTATTATGCTAAGCAAAGTAAGTCAGAGAAAGACAAATATCATATGACTTCACTCACATGTGGAATTTAAGAAACACAACAGATGAACATAAGGGCTGGGAAGGAAAAATAAGATAAAAAGAGAGAGGGAGGTAAACCATAAGAGACTCTTAAATACAGAGAACAAACTGAGAGTTGCTGAAGCGGTGATGAG